CATGCATGCGTGCGTGCGTGCGTGCATGCATGTATGTATGTGCGTATGTATGTGCGTACTTGCCTGACAAACACAGACACACGCAAACCACCACACAAATCGCATGACGGATGCAGAATGATGCAGAGATGCATATCAGAATAGAGACATGTACAGGAATTGGACGTAAGAGCTTCTGGCAGGCTTCCTAGGGGTTTCAGGGCTGCGTGAAAGCCACAATAGTTGGGCTGGGAAAAACCGTCTTAGGTTTACAAATTTCCTGGAAGCTTCTCGATCGCGAAGTTTTTGGGGGCCTAATCAATCAAGATTTTCTGGGAGTCTTCCTACCGGCTTCAGGGCTTCTGTAGAGCTAGCTGCTTCAGACTGTCTTAGGATGTTGGTTTGCTGACCATCGGGGGGTGGCCTTGATCTGGCAATGTCGACTTTAACGTCACTTCCGCGGAACTCGCGCGGAATTTACGCGCTAAAGCCTGTACGGAACCTAATTTTGGGGTTGTTGTTGCTTACACTAAGGATCGATGGCGCTACGAGGCACTGCGCATGCTGAACCGGAGCAGTAGCAATAGGCAGGACGTAAGAGGTGGGAGGTAGTTAGTAGCCGTCAGCGGTGGGTCGTACAAGGTTGTGGGTAGTAGGTATATGGCAGGTGGAGCAGTAGGAGCGGCAGCAGTAGCAGCAGCAGCAGCAGTAGTAACACCCAAACCCAAACCACATGAATTCCCAACTGCTGAAACCTTAGCTCCCCGCGGACCCCGAACCCCTTAAGAGGCCAGGCCCCCTGCGGAATCGTCGGACCTGGCGGACCAGAAGTAGCCGGATTCGGAAGCCTTGGCGGCTCTCGGGAAAAAACTTCGGTGACGGGGGCGTCGGGTGTGGGACGGGGTTTGTGGTTTAGAACCTCATGGGGTTCAAGGTTTAGTTTTGGGGCTCAGGGATATTAAGGTTGTGGGGTTGGTATTGACAGGACGGAAGGTTGATGGCTTGTGGGGAGTTGAAAAGATTGGAGGCAAGCTTGAGTGCTGACGTTTCATATGGTCCAATGTTTGTTCAGAGTTTGTTTTCGTCAGTGCTGCCCTATGGGTAGCCATGACGAGCAGAAGCCAGCACGGCAGATGTGAGTGAATGCAGGCACTTTCAAGGCCCGAAGAGAAAAGGGCACAAGAACTGCGTCAAATCGCTGCCAAGATTGACGGTGCGGGCTCAAACTGCTTTGCGGGGTAGGGAGTTGAAAATCCCTAAAGGGTGTATCTCTCCATGGGCGGGCCTAGCCAAGGCTTGCGGTACTCTGACGGCGGTGACAATGTCGACTGTCGTGAGTACAAGAGATGGAAGCTGTGGTGCCTGCGGGTCCAAGGCTTCAGGACCCAGAATTCGCTGGCAAGAATGGACGGCAAAAAGCTGTTGGTTTATTTCTGCGAATACGAAGATCACCCAGCACGTGCTGGTCATGTTAATATAGCTATTTGGTGAAAGCCAGACCCAAAGCCACGCGAACTTGACGCTGAAGGGGAGCTTGCGCAACGCTTTTGCCGCGGTTTTTGGCGGCCTCTGGACACCCACCCTGTTTGCGAAGCCTGCCGGGCTGGTCGCGAAGAATGCACTCCATCTTGGGTAGTGAAGCACAGAAAACCCAAGAGGGTGTGACGATGTCAGGAACTCCCTCCAAGGCACCACGGCCCATCAGTTTCCCCGGGCACTCTGGCAGTAGTCAAGAGTCTGTCAGTCAAGCTCAGAACTCGGTTTTGTTGGGGGATTTGCCTTCGGCAGCGGATTCGGCGGGATTTGCCTTAATAAGGCTTTAGGGTTGAACCCTAAACCCCAAACCCCCAACACCCAAACCAAACCCTAAACCCTAAAACCTAAACCCAAAACCCTACAGGGATTTTCACGCTGGTGATGACTAACACTTTGTTTTGAGAACTTGAGCGCGATAGGGTCTAACAGAATCGAGAGACCGGTGCACAAATGAAGCTGCAAGATCTAAATTTATATACATAATTAAACATATGCAGAGTAACGATTCAATTCCGACACAGCAAGATGTGGCGTCTGATAATAGCAAGGAAGATGTGCATGAGATATACGGCTCTCTACCGAGGGGCTTCATGGATGCCGAGGGCGCCCGTGCCGGAGCCTATCAAAGCTGTACTCTCAAGAAGCCAGAACAGCCGTGCCGTGATTAACGCCAAAGTGAATAAAGATAGGGAGCCTTGAACTCATGTTTCAAAGTGCCGGCGTTGGCACACCCTGCCCTAGTAACCTGTCGAGCTTTCCCGACCCGGAAGCGACAAGCGACTCACGACTGCTTGCACAGCTTGCATGCGCCAATGCACTACCTTCAACTAACCATCCGGGCATGAATGACTTATGACGCAATGTCTGAGGGGTCTTCAATCTCTTCTCGAAAGTGCACAACAATCACCAATCTGCATGACCGTTCCCAAATTATGCATTGAACGGCCTGGACGGGCTGTGGCGGCTGTGTCATCTGACCCCAGTCAATAATGGGCTTCGCCTCCTGAGCGACGCAGCAGGAATGATCAGTGACTTGAACCGCAGATGTTCTTGCTTTCATCCGTGTTGCTGCTGTCAGTAGTGCTGGGGCGAGTGCATTGACAGCCTGATTATGCTCATTGCCGCTTTCACGATAACTTAGTTGGCGCTCCTGGGTATGATTGCAGTTGGTAATCTCTTGTCGTGCTGAATTCAATAGTCCACCGCCGTGCTCCTAGCAGAGTCCGACGAACTAACGCATTGCATCGATTTACACGACTAATATTTTCGACGTCGCCATCACCGTCCTGATTGCTACTTTTTGAGGTACCCAGACCCATTTTAGTACGGCTGACGTGACATGATACTGTGGCTAAGCCACGCAACCGCGCACCAGTGGAGCTGCGACTATAGCTACGGCCACGCTATTGCCACAGCTATCCTTTCTACACCGACGACGACGGCGACGACTGCTGAAACTGCTAGTTGCACTGCAGCTAACTACTATAGTAAGTAGTGAATTACTGTATCCACTACCACCACAACCACTCCTCCTCCCCTACTACTATTATTACTACTACTACTACTACTACTACTGCTAGTACTAGTACAAGTACTAG